TTCCCTACGGAATGATATGTTATTCCGCTGAAAAAGTAACCTATGTCACTCTACAGCCACCGAAATATCCCCATACCAAGATTCATGCCATGCCGACGCTCTGTTGCGACGTGAAAGAAGGACAAACTTTTGCAACATATTCTATTTTCCCACGGGAATGAGATGTTTTTCCGCGGAAAAAAGTAACCTATGTCACTCTAAAGCCACCGAACTATCCCCATACAAAAAATCATGCCGTGCCGACGCTCTTTTGCGACGTGAAAGAAGGACAAACAAACAAAAAAACAAACACACTTACTCATTTATAATATATAGTATGGATTCCTTACTCTCACGCGCACATGCAATTGGTTTATTTACGGTAATACAGTCGCAAGCTCACTCATGTATTCGCACGGTGTCCTATACAATATATTTTGTATTAATGCCTAACATTATTATCATGGCAGATACTAAATGCTATTGCAAAATTTCGCCAACTAATTCTATTTTATACTTGAAAAATTAATATTATACCCTCCACTTACAGCAACAATACCGCTGTATTAAAATTTACTGACGAATAAAAACCAAGAAATGAATAACAAAAGAGTAACAGTGATAGTGTTAGCAGATCTATTCTACGCTTTTAACATAGTTGACAAAATATACTCCTATACATACATACATATATATGTATATATATATATATATATATATATACCTCCAGGAATAAGTTCAAGTAAGGTAGGGGAACTCGTAGTGTTTACATAATGACTTGGTTTGGTTGGTATGGATTTTGCTTTGGTACCAGTAAAGCAAAAAAAATGGTGTACAGTTGTAAATAAACGCCATGATGAACTCAGTACCATTATTCTGCTCATTTAAGCTGATATTCTGTGAGATATATTTTTACAGATTTCTTTGGTACTATTCCTGTTGCCTACCGATACGAGGCTGCCACTCGAGAACATTTTTTCCCCAAGTTGTCGGTTCTTCGAACTATATGGCCGACCCAATGCAACTTCAGCTTACAATCCGTTGGGCTATATTGGTTACTCTGTTTCTAATGCGGATATCTTTATTTCTAAGTTTATCACGCAGAAAAACCCTGAGTATAGCCCCCTTCACAGCTCGCTGGGCGACCTTTAGCGTCCTCATACGGCCAGCGGTGAAGAATCTCTTATCTGTAAGTCATCACTGGCAATACGCACTTGATATACAATCTCATTTCCAAGTTTTGAGGTCTACCTGATGAGAAGATGTGTAGTAATTTTCCAAACTCCGCTAAGTTGAGTTGAATACCTCGATTGATCTCTCGGTCGATGTTAAACTTACCAATCTGGACTATTTTCCTAAGGTAAACATACTCGTCAGCAACTTCAAACTTCAAGCTTAGTGGCTCCAACTACCGACAGGTACGTTATACACGATCTTTGTTTTGTCCATATTCATTTTAAGACATATCCCTTGGAGGTACTATTGAAGTCATTGATTATAGTGATAAGGTCCTCTGGCGACTTTTCCATAAGAACTATATCGTCGGCAAATCGAAGGTGAGAGATGTACTCACCACTGATATTAATACCGAATACTTTCCAGTCCAGTAGCATGAAAACGTCTTCCAATGCAGCGGTGAAAAGTTTCGGGGATATAACTTCACCCTGTCTTTCACCTCTCAGCAGTTTATTGGGTTTCGTACTTTAGTTCTATACTCGGATAGCCATCGTAGCCCCATCGTAAAAACACTTCAGTACTTTAAAGTACTGACTGTCATCTTAACACAGCTGAAGGGACTACAGCGCCGCCCAAATTTCGACGAATTCAATAGCTATCTCAAGCCCACATATGCCAGATAAAGTGATAGTTTGTACTCTTAGATCTTTTGTACATTTTACCGATGGTTGTGTATGTGGTCTATGATACTAAAGCATTTTAGGAATAAGAGGCTTATTAGGGAGGCTGAAAGTCATCCAGTCTGTGAGAAATTGGTCTGTAGTCAAGACAGTGTGGTCGCTTTTCTTGAAAAATAAAACCACCGCACTTCTGCTCCGCTTCGCTGGTGTAGTCTCACAGTGGATAACGGAATTACGGAGCTTCTGAAAGGCTTCAAGTACCGGTTTTTTACCCGCTCTCAGAAGCCCGCAGTAATTCATTTCTCGCATGAGACCATGCCGTTCTTAAGGTGCTAGTCTATCTCTTTTTTTCCAGTTCCAAGATCTTCTCGTCAGTCCTCATGATGCGTGCGCTAAATATTGTCAGGTCGAGTCATTTTAGGGCCTGTAAAGTGGCCAGTCCCCCTGGGCAGGGAGACTGTGCACTTAACCGTAGCCAGGAATTGCGGGGCCGCAGGGGACTAAGGGCCGTTTATATGTGTCGTTGTTCGTGGGTTTTTTTTTTATAGAATAGGGTGACAAACGAGCACACAGTCCACCTGATGGTAAGTGGTTGCTGCGGCCATAGACATCTACATTATCTTCATTACCTAGACGTTGTCACCCGCGAGGACTGAGATGGAATGCCTCATTTCAGTAAAAAGGTATGTTTGCCATAGTCACCATACTTGGCGAGGTTTGCTTAAAAAGATTTCCTTCTACGTGCACGGGAGAAATTATTAAGTGTATAGAACTCTATCTTGATTAAGCATAATTATATTTATCAAAGGCAAATTATCAACAGGTTCAATGTCGTTTAATGTCATCATAATTATTATATAATTAAATTAAACTTCACATATTATTTTATATCTATACATGTAATAAAACAGTAACGACTGTACATTGAGTATTTTCGAGAAAAAATAAGTGGCTTTTGTTAGAAAAACGTAACTGATGACAAAAAGTGACTTTTTAGAATTTTTGTCTGTTTGTCTGTGTGTACGGTACGGCTTCACGCCAAAACTACTGGATAGATTGAATTGAAATTCTGCAAAAATGTTCTTTGTAAACCAAGGAAGGCTTTAGGCTACATATTATCACGCCGTATGTTATATGAGGTAAGCAGTATTGATTTTAAAAGGTTTTTCTTCGTAATTGAATGCACAAAATAATTGAATGCACAAAATGACATGATATTAGTTAAAATAAAAAAAATTAAACTCTGGAAATATAATAACCACGCTATTTTTATAAAGGAGCGGGGCAGTAATATTATAAATTGCAAGGGAACAGCTGTTTAACAATATGTCAACGGGGAATTTAGCGGTAAGGTCAGGCGAACGTTTACAGCATTAGATGGTGCAAGTTTAAATCCCATAATATTGTTTTGAAAAATGTAATTTAATTTTCTTTTTATGTGCATTAGGAAATTGGAACTTTTATCCAATTGTATGGAGAGTTTGAAACCAATATTACTAAACAGATTGATTGGTGGTACAACAAGTTACACTATCATGAAGTCAAGTCAAACTTTTGGTTCTAAGTTATATCTTACCAAGCACATTTATTGCAGGTAATTGATTTAAGTATGTAATTCTTAGTTTTTTCCTTGCTGCTGTTACCATATTTTTTATTGCAAAAATAATGTACTTGTCTATTAAATTAACGACAATTTAGTTTTAATTCAATATTTAATTAATTCATTTGGGTAAGTAATATGTAGTTTCCGTTTACGAACTAGATGGCGTTGGCGTCGAGTTAGATCACGCTATGGTTTCGTTCCCAAAAAGTGATGTTATAGATGCCGATGGGTCGCTCTCATCCTATAAAAACGGGGGTTACCTTTGTTGTCTATGTTGGTTGATGTGTTTAATTTTCCTGCAAATAATTATTATTTTTCTACTTACTAGCAATTCTTACGTTTAGTTTTCATTGTTTTGAATATCTTTAGTATCAGATGAAGAAGGAATTTTAGCTATGCTTTTTAGAAAAAGATCAAATCTGTCTCGAAACTCAAGGGTTTCTAAGATGCGCAGGTTAGTTAGTAGTAGCAGTAGTTTCTCTCTAACCCACGCAGAGCGTGAACAACGGCTAGGTTCTAACCGTGAGCGTAATGCACTAAATTTGTCCGCAGAATCTAGCACGTAGCGCCAATTACGACTAGAATTTAAACGAGTCCGTACTACTGCTTCTCGATCTCAGGAAAGTGTGGAACAACGAGAAATGCTTTTAGCTATCGACCGGGATCGTCATTCTTTGTCTCGCGCATCCGAAACGGTTACATAGAGGGATCAGAGGTTGAGTTTTCAGAATATCCGCTCTCAGGCTGCTCGATCACTTGAGAGCAGTCAGGAGCGTGAGATACGACTTGCTCGTGACCGATAACGTGAACAAAGACAAGGGTACAGCTATAGCTTATAAAAAAAAATTAAAGTGATTTGCAATATTATTGTTAATTCAGTGTACCCTTCGGATCCGGTGCATTCCGCCACGGATCCGTGAAATATACGGGATGAAAAGTTTTTTGTTGTATGGGTGTTAAGTCTAGGTATCATATAGCCTATAATTTATTTTGGAAAATGGAACATCTGATGCAGAACTGCAACAGACTAGCTAAAGTATAAGAGATATAAAAATGGTGTTATAGCAAAAAATATTCCACGTGAAGACTTTTTTCTGCTGTAAGAATAAATTTGAATATCTGGAACACCTGTTGTGGAACTCCAAAGCGACATTATAACATATATAGGAATGACGTCTTAGCAAAAGTTGTTTAGTCTGATGGGCATTTCGTGTTGACTTACAAAAATGAAAGATCTGGAACGTCTCGAATCGTCTCGCGCATCACGTTGTTTTCCCGTCTCCGGGCTCTTAGAATTCGACATCAGACGTTTTAGATCTTCGATTTTGACGACCCCGTTATCGCTGGCATAAGCAACATCATCCGCGTACGAAGTCGCGAGCAGCAGCTAGTAATTTATAAATTCTTAATTCTATTTTAAAAGTTTACGGCAAATAACATAAGACTATAATAATCACGTTTTTTTTTTTCAAAAGAACAGTGAACATAATTAGGAGCCAAGGAAGGGAAAAATAATACAGCAAAAAAAAAAAGGGAAACATAATTCAGTAGGCAACACTTACTCTCTTTGTTAGCGGTGCTTTTCATCTCTGTCGCCTTCGGGGACGTCGACGGCATAGGGATTTCTAAACAGAACATTTTGTTTGTTTATAATTTCCATTTCGCTGCACATGAAGGTTTGTAATTATTTAAAATGTTGCTAAAGCTTGAAATCCACGGAGTCTAAAACTTCATGGATTTTAAGCTTTATCAACGATAAAATTAGCATTTTGCTGATTTTTTTCTATAGAATTTATATTTCATCATATAATAATAATATATAATTTACGTAGTTCCAAATATAACATACAATAACTTAAGTTCTAAAGTGGCGTCTACTCAACACAAGTGTTAGAGAAACCAGATAGCAGTAACTATAACGCAAATTTTAAGTACACGCCAGAGGTAATATGCAATAAAATAAACTTAACTAATCACACGTGATTATTTAGGTTCAACTCCAGCTCCAACATAAAATAAAAACAACTACTTATAAAAAAATTAAAATATGTAAAAAAAAGGCACAAATGAGTAAATTACTTCATGAGATAAGAAAGGAAAATAAATGTTAGAATGAAAACTAAGTAAGTATTTCTTAATTTTATAATATACAGACAATATACTTCATAAAAAAGGTTATGATACATCGACACAGAATTTTGCTAATTCATAAACTTTATTAGTCAACTCCGTTATAAGTCTAACACCAAACAAATCGTTTGATTACTTGAAACAATACAACTAATTAGTAAATAATTTAGTAAGTATTAAACTAATATGGTAGTATGGCTTGTCAGTTTTGTAAATTTTCTTGTAATCAAAATCTTGTGAATTTTTTTGATATTTAAACCGGACATTTTTGAATTTATATTAACTTGTAATTAAAAAATAGTGTACGTAAACTTTTCGCTTACTGGGATGAAAACCTTACCAATGAAATAATACCACATTACCAATGAAATAATAATAATTATTAGTAGTGCACAATATAAAATAAAACAGTAACACATTTAAATAATATTTATAATGTCTGAATATTGTCAAAATTGTATATTGTATATAACACATAAACTCACGAAACTCATAATCAGAATCAGTGTCGTAAACGACCTATAGATTTTACTATACGTCAATGCCATTAAAAAAGATCCGTGATAAAATCAGTTTGCGATCAAATGACTTGTATTTAAATAAGGGTTAAATATAGTTATTAATAAATAACAAAAAGACAATTTTTTGCAAAGAAACTCTCACCATATAATCTAATGGAACCTTCGGTTTCCCCGAGAGAATTTTTCGAAATACATCGGTAATTCCCAAAGTCACCAGTTTGAAGGTTTCTGACAGTCAGCTTCATGTGGGCTCTAAAACAAAAAGTATATTTAGTTAGAATAATCATATACCACGTATCGTTTAGCACATCCATTACACGAAGAGATGACCTGATAAAAGATGAGGATTTGCAGATGCATTTTTAATATACACGGTTATTTTTCAAAGAGTAGTCAAATTGAAATAATACTAGGTTTTACGGAATTTATCGCGTATATTTGACTTTTAAATACCCGACGTTTCGAACGCTTTACAGCAGTCATGGTCACGGGCGGGACTGAGATGTTCAACGTCTAGATGTCATAGTTAACCGCGGTTACCATAGATTAAAATTTAACTTTTGTTCCGATCTACACAGTATGAACTTATGGTGTCTTTAAATTTTAATCTACGAAAAATCAGTTAAGATAATGTATTTTGAATTTTAATGATATAAAAGGACAAAATGTTATGAATGATAAATGTAATGAAAAGATTTTTCTTAAATTATTTTTCTACACTTACGAGCTCAACTATCTTTTCTACAACTAATGGTTTATTTATATTATTTTATTTTATATTTTTCAGGGACAGATGAAAGAGAGGGCAGGCTCAAAAACTTATTGGCATTTAAACAGAAGCATCTTATTTAACTGATTCCTACAAGTTTCCTTACTTTAATTATTAAGTGTATATTCATATTGCCGAATGATAAAATAATTTTTTATGATGTATTTTATTATTCAATGTTTGTTATTATAAAAATTAATATTTAAAAAATGAAAAATTCAGCAGTCATTATGTACTCCATGTCCCCGTTTTTTATTTCACTTTAAAAACATTTTATGTTGCATCTGCCTATTGATATTTGATTATGTTAAAAAAATTCCGAGTAAATTTCCATGGCAGTAAAAATTTTAAAACGTCATTATTCGAAAATACAATTTTCCGATTTGATTCTTGGGGAAAGTTTATTCGGTGGACTCACCGCTACAAAGATAATTGGGATTTTTACATTTTGAATTAAAATCCAAAAAAAATGCAGATAGGTGCTGCTTATTTTCGGGAACATGTTATTTCTACTACTAATGGTTTATTTGTTCTCCCCTATTTTTCCTCGCTCTGTAGTCTAAACTTGTATTTTGAACTGATATTTGTGCGAGATAAAAAAATATATGTTTAATTTGAGGAGTGCAGAACTTTTCATTTACATAGCATCCATCCCATACGTCGTATATTTTTAATTTTACTTATAAATTTAGAAAGGGAATGGGGTATACGAATTAAGTCTTTTCCACGCGCATCCATCAACGGGGTCTACTCGGACTGGTTTCGCATCCATAAAGGTTGTGGTTGTGACAGGGCTGTGTGTTCAACCTATTTATAGACATTTGTTAAAAAAGTTAAAGAATGCGGGTTAAAAATGTGTGAGTCAACTATCAAATGCCTTTTGTGCGCCGATGATCATGTCATATTTGCGTCGTTTTTTTATAGGAGAGGGGGCAAATGAGCATACGGCTCACTAGATGATAAGTGATTATCGCCGCTCACGAACAACTTCAAAAGCATGGGAATTGCAGATGAGTTGCCGGCATTTTAGTCGTATCGGTCCGGAAAAATCTCTGGTGGTAGTCGATTCCAAGGGAAAGTTGTGCGAGGAAGAAAACTTCTTTTGGCAGGGTGGTGGATCGCCAGTCAACTAGATGGTATGGATGGTATCGCGAGTTTTGTCGCGATGTGCAATGGTGAATTTGTGCGGCTGGAATTGGTCCGAAAAATTCATCAGAACACTCTCCGTCGTATCTGTGATAAAATACGCAAAAAGATGTAACATCTCTTCGCAGTCGCCAGTGAGTCAAACCGATCGGAAAAAGCTGGGTCTACGACGATTCGAACTGCTTTGCGCTGAATGCGAGAGAGAATGCGATTTTTTTTACAATGGAATCCATTGTAAACTACCAGTTCATAAGGTACCTTGAGAATCACCAGCTGATTAGTGATCGCCTATACGGTTTTCGCCGTGGTCCTTCAGCTGGTGATCTTCTGGTCTACCTAAGTCACAGATGGGCTCAGGCAGTAGAGTTCAAGAGGGAGGCATTGGCCGTTAGTTTGGACATTGTGAAGGCCTTCGATCGGGTTTGGCAAAAAGTGCTTCTTTCGAAGCTCCCTTCCTATGGGCTTCCTGAGAAATTGTGCAATTAGATCACCAGCTTTCTTGCATATCGGACCATCAAGGTCGTTGTAGACGGTGTAAGCTCCGATTACAAGCCAAGAGAGCAAACCGGGTTCGATTCACGCCGGCACCAATAAAATTGTTAATTTCAATTTTAAATGCTGATTTACCACGTGCTCGGCGGTCAAGGAAAACATCGTGAGGAAACCTGCATGTCAGAGAAATAAGAAAAAAAAGTATTTCGAAGACATGTGAAGTTCGCCAACACGCATTGGGGCAGCGCGGCGGACAATTCCTAAAACCCGCTCAGAAATGAGCAGAGGCCTGTGCCTAGCAGTGGGACGTATATAGGCTGTAACTTTAACTTTTTACTATATACCTGTGTACCCGGATAATAAGTGGATCCGGGTACACAAGTATACAGTACACTTATTTCTAATATTTATTTGCTCATTAAGTTAACATTGAGGGTACTTATAGATTCTTGTACATTTCTATTATTTTTATATTAATATTTTAATTAACACCTACTAAATTACTAATTATTAAACTTTTTCAAATTTCGAAGCCATTTAAGAAAAAGTATTTTTACTTTTCAAAGAACACTTTTTAATTTAAATTTATAGATTCACAAGACTTCAGGCTCGATTCTAATTATATAATTTCCAATGATAGATTTATGGTGTCTAAACTCGACGCTGTTCCATTTCATTTATTAGTTTTAGCAAATGTTCCATTTCTTTGTAATTTATATTAAAAAAAATATTTCTTTTGTAAAGTTAGAGCTTTTATGCGTCCTACTCCTGGGCCTTAACCCTGCCACGCTGCTCAAGTACATGTTTGCAGAATTCACATGTGCAACATTTTATTTCTTAGACATGCAGCATTCTTAATTATGTTATCGTACATCGATGAACACGAGGTTAAACAGCACTTATAATTGCAATTAACAAATTTAATTAATACTGAATTGGACCGACGTTCAATTTATGGCCGATTGTCTAGGAATTTCATTTGATCATTTAAGGCGTGTTACACAAAATATTTATGCATATACACAAGTGATGATAACTATCCACACTTTGTTTTATATTTTTCGCCAATCGTAATAGACATACTACAAATATCGAATGGTCACACGGCTATGTTAATAATAATAATGTCCTCCAGACCGAATTTCGGCCACGGTGGCCTGCCTCAACGGAGGTTAGCCATCGGCGCAGGACAGGATTATAGTGCCCAAGTGTATGCGCAAGCACAGGTGCACTCTCTCTTCCCTCACTCTCATAATCCGATGGGACGGTAAACTGACACGACTGGAGTGATATCAGGCGCAGGACCAACGGCTTTACGTGCTTTCCGAGGCACGGGGTGAGACACCGCCAACTTCCTGACTCCGAGCAACTACTGAGAATTTCTCGACAGAAAAATTCAATAATTAATTTTTTGACCCGACCCGGGATTTGAACCCAGGACCTCATGATCAGCAGTCGCACTACTACAACCACTAGACCAACGAGGCAGTCTAAGCTATGGTCATTGTACATACAGTTCGGGGCACGAAACGCTTTACACTTATTGCACTATCATTCCCCGCTTGTTCGTTGATTAAAATACAATTAGGATTAATATTTGTAACACAAGTTCGATCACATTTCCAACAATATTAAACTGTTTAAAAAATAGAGACAATGTCACAAGCCTGGTCTATTTTAAACGTACGACGATGAACGACGATAAGTAATAAATATTTGATATTAATCGTAATAATTCGTCAAAAATTCATTAAAAAAACAATATTATAATGTATGTACAGATTGTCTACGTACCTGTAGGAATTTTCTTCTGTAGTAACGGCATATTTCTTGGTAGGTAACACCATCACGTTATCATAAACCCAATATGATATTGCTCGAGGATGGGCCTCAGTATGACAGTCAACTGTAACGTCAGTTCCTGCTGGTGCTCCGACCAGTTGATTGGGAACCCAAATCATTGGCGAAACTGGAAAGAACATTTGATATTACTATACGTTATTAATTTTGGAAGTAAAATGGTAGAGACATGCTGCAACTATATTATGGTTGTAGTACTAATGGGTTCCCTTGTATTATATTCATTTGTTCCCACGGGAGCGGGGAACCACAGAAACCAGTACAGAATACCAGCGTTAAGAGGAAGTTAGTTAGTTAAAGGTTCTTACAGATTATGAACACGAGCCCTTTTTTTCTGGAAACAAGGCATTTCATCCTAGTCTTGTGACAACGCATCTACATTTTAATTCTTAATTGAGTGTAGATGTTAATTTCGATTTTACCAACTAGTGGACTGTTTGCTCGTTTGTCACCCTTACCTTTAAAAATATACAGGATTTTACATCACAACTGATTTTATTGGCAGTTTGTTTTACTCAATTTTGTGTTGTGAATGATGATAAAATAAATTACGAGTACGAAGCAGAAATATCACTCAAAGTTTAATTTTCACAGAAACGCATGAAATAAAAATATACAAGTTACGAAAGAAAAATTATTACAAAACGCCAGAAACATTATCAGGCACTTAAATTTTAACATTTGTGACACATCAATTAAAAATTATAATGTCGGTCATATCTTCATTTACCTATTTTAATTTGTAATTTTATTATAACTTATGTAGGTATAACACCTATCGTGTTATTTTTCAAAGCCTTCGGTGGCATAAATCAAATATATATTTTTGAAAAGAGCTTATAAAAACTTGCTCTTTTAAGTTGCTCAGTTAATCTTTCTTTAAAGTTTACAAGAGCGATTATTCTTGAATCAATCTAAAACGACTGGACAGCTAGCGCATGAACGGCGGTACAAGTAACTATAGCAAACTGGGAAGCAATTTATAAAGTTTCAATTATGATGGATCGTGGCGAAGTTGGCCGAGTCCACCCGAGCAGTGCCGACAATTTTTCACATAACGCTCAGATAATAAAATCCACGCTTTGAGAACGTAATTCACATTCCCCGAGTTTATGGTGGCAATTTTCACGAAGAATATTACTTCTGCTGCGTGATACGCTTTAATATTCTACGACGTTTTAAAATATTTATAAAGTTCTACGTTTTTTATGGGCTTATCGCAAACGGCTTCATTATAAAGGCTTAGACGTATGAAATCATAACTTCCAAGTTATATTGCTTAGGAGCAATCCACATGTTGGTTATTATTTCTTAAAGCAGCCGTTATATTAAGGTTCAATATTGGCTTAATCATTATTTACGCACGGCGCTTTTCGTTTTCATATAAAACCTATTTTAAGCGTACAAGCGTAATCCTATTTAAATAATTACAAATCTTGTATTCAATACTTTTAATTTAAAACATATCTGGAATTATATTACTATTACAACTTATTTAGAGCAAAATTTAATTTTAGCAACGATTTAGTTTTGTGAACATCAGCAGTTTGTTGGTTACAAATATAATATAGAATAGAATGATTTATACTTTTAACACCTCGTGATGTCGTCTATATGCACCAAGGTGCTATGCAGGTATCGGGCCTCGGGGTATACCCCATTGCCCGGACTTTCCTCATGACCCACGACTATGGGCCAGTCCTGGGAGCCTAAATTAGGCTAGGTGAACACGGGGTGACTTTCCGTAGTATGAGAATTTATTTTCCCGTAGTTAACCGACTACGGGAAAAAAGGAGGTTGTCCGGTAAAAAGTTGAAGTTGGCCTATCAGCGGCATTGAGGGTTGTTACTCGACTCTCTAATCGCTATAGAGAGAAGTTCTCTTGGAAGAGGTCGCCCGTCCGGGGACCGAGTGCGCAAAGCAGTTGAGGTGTTCATGTGGCCCGTTGTCGGCGCGGTCGAACATGCCGCGCGCCAGCCGGGCCACGAAGTCGGTGATGGTCTCGATTTTCAGATCGGCCGCTATGACGTCATTCCGGACGTAGCGACCTGCTCCGACGATCGTCCTTAATGTCAGATTCTGCTGAGCCTGCAGTCGCCGCCTCAGAGGGTCGCTCAGAAGCGCGTACCAGGCCGGAGCAGCGTAGGTGATGATGGTCCGGATATACATCTTGTATATCCGGAGCTTGGTTTTAATCGGCAGCTTGGATGCCAGGACCGGCAAGAGCGTCGCCCGCGCACATCGGGCTCTGCGGACGACGAAGTCGACGTGCGCGGTCATGCGCAGCGTCCTGTCGATCCTGCACCCAAGGTAGGTTACGGCCTTCTGGTACGCAATCTTCTGGTCGTTGAGGGTCAGTGGAGGTGGAAATTTTCTGAGACGGCGAGTGAGCAGAGCGGTCGTCTTACCAACGTTGACGACCATCCTCCACTCGTCCAGCGATGGTGGCAGCAGATCCAGCAGACGCTGCATCCTGGCAGTGGCTATGTGGGCTCTTCTGTACGAGGTGAAATAGGCGCTATCGTCCGCATATAGCGCCAGCTCAATTTCGTCCTCCCACTTTTGGAGCCTGCCTGCCAGTGTTGGGATGTCGTTAGGACAAGCCGCGTACAGGACTGGAGACAAACAGCTGCCCTGTGGAACGCCGGCTCTGATAGATCTGGTTGCGGACTCGGCGACCTCTACGCAGACGTAGAACTTCCTGTCTTCCAGGAAAGACGCCACTAGCCGCAACATAGCAAGAGGGACACTGGTCTGTTCGTACAGCTTGTAAAGCAATCCTGAGTGCCACACCCTGTCGAACGCCTTCTCGATGTCGAGAAAGACGCCCAAGGATATGCGGCCACGATTGTACTCTGCCACAAGCAGGTGCAGCACTCTAGTCAACTGTGTGACTGTAGAGTGACCCCTCCTGAATCCGTGCTGCTCCGCCCGAAGTTGGATGCACGGACGGAGACGTCTTAGCAGCAATCTTTCTAGCAGTTTAGCTATGTACGGTAATAGCGTGATCGGCCTGTAGCTGGCAGCTCTACGCCTGTCCTTCCCGGGTTTCAGCAAGACGATGACTTTGCCTTTCTTCCAGTCCTCCGGGAAGTGGGATGTCCGCAATATCCCATTGTAGAGTCGACCAAGCTCTACTAGGACTCTATTGGGCAGCTGTGGGAGTGCAGCGTTGGTAATCCCAACGTGCCCCGGCACCTTCATCGGTTGCAGGCATGTTACTGTCCTCCGCAGTTCAGCGGAGGAGATGAACCACTCTCCTGCAAGAGGCGGCACGGGCGACGACAGGAACTCCTGTACGCGACTTTCCCTACGGGCATGAAGCTCCATGAACTCCGCACTTGCTGGGTTCGGCATATATTTCTCAAAATACTCGACTAGGATATCCGCTGTGCAACTCGTAGCAACGTTCACCCGCGCTGTTGATCAGCGGGCAAACGGGAGGTCTGGTTTTGGTCAACTGTCGGTTCAGTTTATAGAGCGACGCATTTCACATTTTTTTGCATTCTCATCCGCCTTCCAGATGCGCCGGTCCCAGGCCTCTCCTCTGAAGGCCTGTACGGCAACCGACAGTTCCTCCGATAAGGTGTTGAGTTGCTTTTTTATCCTGGGGCAGCGAGTACGCGCCCAGAGCTTTCTCAACGCTCTCTTGCGCCTGATCTGCACGCATATCTCTCGCGGCAGATCGTCTCGCCTTGCAGTGATCGGGACGATCGTAGAGGCCGCGTGGAGGGCCTCCTGGATGTTCCTGGTAATTCTAGTAGCTTAGTGCTTATAGGATGGTGGACTGGAGGTCTCTCCTGCAGATGTTGGCAATAGAGCCTCCAGTCGACACGTGTCTTGAATGCTCTGGGCGGCGTTGTCACCGCCTTTAGGCCAAGGGTTATCAGAATCGGGAGGTGCTGTGAGGAGAGGTCGTACAGCACTTCTACCACTATCGGGTAGTTGACGTTCCTAGTGAGCACGATGTCCAATACATCCGGATGTCTCCGTGGATCAGATGGAACGTGAGTCGGTTCTTCGGGACCTAATACGTCGTAGCTGTTGTTCTCTGCGTCTTCATAAAGTTAAAGACCCGGCGGGGTGATCACTCTGGACCCCCACGCCGGGTATTTGGCGTTTAGGTCCCCGGCGATGATGGTGGGTGTTTCGCCTTCCATCACCTTCCGGATGTCTGTGGTGCAGAATGGAGTCCCTGGCGGGCGGTATGCTGCGTAGATCCTTAGTTCCTCGCCCGCCGCCTCCATTCTTATGCCGATAGAGCGCATAGTCTGGTATGGTGGTAAATCCAGCTCTTGATGGACGATGTCCCTCCTCACTGAAACCGCCGTCCCTCTATAGGCGGCCCCTTGAGAAGTGACCTCGTCCCTTCTGTACAGGTGGTAGTTTGGCAGCTTAATATGCGTCTTTGGGTTTAGCTTCGTCTCTCCCAGCAATATGACGTACAAGTCCTGCTGTATACCGTCCGGGTTCCAATAGAGGAGGCGCAGATTACTCTCCTCCGTAATGCCGGGCCAGGAGGTTAGCCAGTACCTTCATTATTGCCGTCATTGGATCGGTCCCGGCTCTGATGTCAGCCAGGACTTGAGTGCCGACCTCGATGGCAATACCAACCAGGCGTTGGATTGCATCTGCTGTTTCAAGGCCGGCAGTAGGTGGTCTCCTAGGAATATGAAGGCGTTGGCATTGTTCTCGGGTGTTAGTGATCCTGTTCTCTTGGCTTATGGGTAGAGCGCGCTCTACCTGTAGAGCGGGCTCTATGTTCAGGTAGAGCCCTTTCTGGCACTCTACCCACATTATTTTTGATAGTCTCCCGAGTAATCTGCGCCTGTGAGGCTACTGGTCCTGTTGGTGTCGGGGTGGAGGTAACAGCCTGAGGAGGCTGCGACTTCTTCCTGCTTCTATCCCGCCTTCTCTTTTTGGAGGGTTGCCGTTCTGTGGCGGAGTTGGCGGGGGGCGGTAGAGTCGCCCCGGTGGTTGCTCTTATCTCTACAGGTTCCACCGTTTCCATGGGTGCTTCGGGTGGGGTGGGGTCTGATTGCCTGCCCTTTCCTGTTACAGTAGCCCACCCGTCCTTCTGTATGGTTACTGCTTTTGGGCGACTCTGGGGGATCCTTTTCGGGTCCTCCGGGAGTAGCCCCGGTAAGGTTATCCCCTGCCTCCCAGCAGTCCTCCTAAGGACTGGGCAGCGGCGGTCATTTGCCGTGTGGTTTTTGCCACAGTTGGCGCATTTAGGTTCCTCCTCTCTACCCCGAGGGCAAAGGCTCGCTATATGCTCCCCGGCACAGCACACGCACTTCACTGGCCTGAAGCAGTTGGCGGAGGCGTGTCCAAAGGCCTGGCATCGGTGGCATTGTGCCGGTCCTGCTTTTCTTTGCCAGGCCTCAATGACGACCCCTCTCATGAAGAGGAGCTCGTCCACTCTATATAATTCCTGGAGCTGCTCCAGGCTCAGGTGATCTAACTGGGCAAAGTAGAGGCAGCACGGTCTGCCCCTACGCGGTGGAATTGCCTTTACATACTTAATTGGGAAGCCCTTTACCCTTATAGCCTCCTCTATGATTTTGGTATCCGTGCCCATTGGTAGACCCCGGATGCCCACTTTTGTGGACATGTCTTCTTCCGGGGTGTAAAAATACCACGACAATGATGGTGTCTCTTTCGTGAGTTCTACCATATACCGTTGTACGGTTCTGAACTCCTCAGCACTTTGCGGTGTGAATCGTACACCCTTCCCGAACGGACGGGCATTCAAAGGGTGGCCCAACTTTCTGTTGAGTTCCTTAAAATGCCTCGTCCAGTCCGGGAGGCATTCTGCCACTATGGGCGGGTATCTTGTCTTTTCCTGGTCGGCAGGCTTATCAGCAGGCGCTGCCGCCGGTTGTGGTCGTGGTACTGATGGTGCAGCTACCATATGGGCATAGCTGGTAGATGGCCGTTGGCCATCATCCTGCGGGAGCCCGGACGGATTGGTTGATGCCACCGGTGATGATCGGACGGCGGATGCTGCGAGGGTTGCATAGGTGGTTGACCCCCAGCTATAGGATTCTTCACCCCCCTGCTCATACTGGGCCGAATCATGGCTTCGACGATCCCGAGATATAGAGCGGGGGGGTTGAGGTGGTGAGGGTGACTTGGTTGGCGATCTGTGCACCTTCTTCGTCGACACCTGGTGGTAATCTTCATCCTCTGATGTGGATGGTGGTTCGTCGGAAGATAGCTGGGAGTCAATCCGTTGCCTCTTTTCGTGCTGCTGGGGCGACGGTTCCTGCCTAACCGTGTGCTCAGACACGGCCGGCGTGAGCGCGACGCCCGGTGCGGGCTCTTTCCGCGGCGAGACGGGTTTTCTTTGGGGGATCTGTAAAAAGGATGACACAACTCTTTTGCGCTCCGGATTCACCAGATCCCTCACAAACAGTGGTCGATCCAACATACCTTTTCGGTCCGGTTGTTTTCGTATTGGAGGGGGAGGTTCCCCCTTGTCCCTACTTGACATGATGTTACCTACCTAACACCGTCAGTTGTATTCGAACGGCCCTATCTATATGATGGTGATAAAATAGTAAGTGGCTTTCCACACTTGGGGCACTGCCTACCCCTTTTGCAAACAAAAGGGTTGAGGGAAGTGCGATGGTGGCACTTTACTACGCGACTGGGCACAAAATGCACGGAACGCATAAAGTGCCAAGAATCACCTAGGGGCCGGTGACCTCGACGCCTCACGGAATCACGGGACTCAACGATCGGCGGAGTATGTCGTACCGGCGGTTGTATGCAGCCACTGCTAACTACAGACAACGCACACCTAGGAGATCCTTTTACCACTTTTAACACTGATGCTGTAAAAATAGCTATCACCTGGGTATATCAAGCAAGAACTTACACTTACTTACAACTTACAGGACTTTTCTCCACAGTAACACTATACAATAAAAATAGGTTGTGTAAATAGGTTTGAAATTAATTTAAATATATTGATTTCATAACTGTGGGATTCAGTAATAAAAGAAAACAAGAGCAAATAACAAATTTTAAATATCATTTAATAAAATTAAATTTTACAAAAGGTGTTTAAAGTGACCAATATGAGCTCTAATACACGTTTACACCTTCTAATGAATGGTGGTTTTATTCTGCTTGCATGTCTCATTTCACTATTTTTGCTAGGCTGTTTGTACACGCTCACGTAGCTGGTTCACTGAGGTAATGGAATCATCTCTTTAAGGCATCCCCATTAAAAAAAAATTCGAGTGGGTACAGGTCAAGTGATCGTGGGGGCCACAAAATTGTCTCTAATAGCCCGATCCATCTTCTGAGTTACATTTCGTCGAGAAACTCTCCAACGTTACGGGCGTAATGGGCAGGATAACCATCGTGCTGGAGCCACATTCTTCTTCTCTCTTCCAATGAAACGTTTTCTAATAAAGTCGGGAGATCGTGTCTTAAAAAAATGCAAATAATTATCTCCCATAGTATTTCTACTATGTCCCCGCAGTCAATGTTCCTGGCTATTCGTATAATCCGATGACGTTGCCGTTTACAATCGCAGTCCAAAGCTTATTTTAAATTAATACTGGGACCTGTGTTCTCTCACTAAATGAGGGTTCGTGAGCTGCCAACTATGCAAATTGTGTATGTTAAGATATGTATGCATGTATGTATGTTATTTTCCTTCTTACTGTAGATTCCAAACGTGTGGGCCGATTTTAACCATTTTTTCGTGTGTTTTAATCTTGTGAATGTCACCAAAGACACGAAAGTAATCGAAATTCAATATGGCGACAATTAGACGCCATATTGTGAACAAGAAGAAAATGAACGATGTCAAGTGATCAATAAATAGGTTTTTGATAATAATTTATAGGTTTGTTAAATAGTTCAATTTGGATGACCATTTAGGATCTATAACGATTTAAAGTTAGTTGGCAACCATGCGTAGATATTAAATTTTTAAAACTTAAACTAAAGGTGTGATAAAGTTCTTATATAATTATATAATAGATAATAATAGTAAATTGTTAACAGAGTAGAGTCTTTTTAAACAGTATTTAACCTGTTTGTAAAACTAATGGTCTGTAATGTAATGGTGTGTAATGTTGGAAAATAAGTTATAGCAATGAATAATCATGTTCTGTCTTTATTTCTGTCTTTCTTCCATGTTATTTTCCCTAATTACAAAAGTTTCGAAAACAATCGACAAAAGTCTCCTAGAATAGCCGCACTAAATTAAATTTATAAGAAACAAAAAATGATCGATATCACTGTCTGCAGGCGCAATCTTCCTCAGATCGTGCACCTTGGAAAAATATTATCTTTCAATTATCGCTGTGCGGCCATCTTGTTTTCTATTTAGTCAGCTGCGCCTCGTAATAAGAATTGAAAATAAAGGGGAAGTTAAAATCCTACTTTTTCAAGAACGAGTCTCGCTTTGTTACGCCTCAAAAAGCTTCGTATTAATTTTTGATACAATGACGTCTCTACAAATCTCAGTAGAATTTGTAAATTATTTATGTAACGGAATTTTGTTTCGTTTCTTTTGACTGCAGTCTGCGAATTAAACCTTTTGTTCAAACGAAATTCTATTATGATCTCTGAAATATTATTAATAATGCGTATTCCATAAGGCGTTTAAAAAGACATTAGCAAAGGACTCATTAATCTATGCGTATAAATAACGTTGAATTATATTTCCCTAATATTTAAATAACTGTGTTTTATTGAGCTTAACGGGTTATTTGTACGCCAAGCATTAGTAACTTTTTTAAAAGTCTGTCCATCTTGCTGTCTATTTAGCCTAATCTTCGGAATGATCGTACTCAAACTTCACGGAAAGATAGATAGCAACAAGGAGCGATATAATCAATATTTTTATCGAAAAAACTTCGAGATTTTTGTGATAAATAGAAAATTTGATAAGATAAATGGTATTAAATTAATGTCTTAAATCTAAATAACGCTTTATTAATAAATGGCCCCCAGATAAGATGGGGCACGTCACTAGTGTACAATAAAATACAGCCCCTTAGAGTACAAATAAGCGCTTTTGTATACTCCACCTGACCATGCTGGATTTTGATGTTTAATTGTACATTATATTTTTATAGTATACTGTAACTTTATAAAAAATCTGTAGATTTTCTTTGCTGGTTTGTTGGTGATTTTCATTTACTGCGCTGTTATCATGAAGAAGTATGTTTATTATCTACTTAATACGAACAAGTTTGTAAATACATATAATTTTATAAAATGTAATTGATTGGATTTTCAACATTACTTTTATCAATTTTATGTATCTGATCGTGAAGTTCTAGCAAGTTAGGTTCTCGTTCCCCATCCCAAAAGTGCCCAACATGACTAAGGAAGTGTTCACTTCATAAAAACTAAAGAATAATAAAGTAAACGTAGGAAACAGTGATAATAAAGATACCCATCCGTTCTTTATGCCTTTATAATAGTCTATCAAAGTTTCATTGTTGAACCTAGGCCTCCCCATAGATTTTTTGAGATAGATTGATTTCATTTGAAGATTTTTGCCATAGTTTGCCACGCTTAGAAGACGAGTCACATTTTAAATACTTTTAGTTGTCATCAGGAAGATACTGCTACCGATCCCCTATTTCAGTTTCCCGGTCACCTCTTACGACAGCCGCGGGTGACATAGAGTAGTAACTTCTCTTACAATGCCATAGCCTCGAATGCCTTATCAAAGCTACCGTCATCATCTTAGTAAATGATTAGTTTATAAAAATATTAGAACCTCACATTCAACATCGACGATTATCCTCTTGGAAACTGAAGGAGGCACCGCATTCGTGGCGATGCAAAGATACGCTCCCATCTCTGTACGGCTGATGCGTTGTAGGCTTAGGCTGTCACCCTCGTACACTGTCACTGTTAACAAAGGAATATATTTTATCATTGCGAAAAAAGGTTTTTATATGATTGTTTACAACGAGAGATTAAATAGTTTAAAAGTTTAAAAAGCAAAGATTTCATACATAAATGGTGGTCTATTTTTTGAATACTAATATCATAAAACAGATGCCTATTCAATTCAATATTATTTAATCGTTTTCACATGTACAGTATTATAATTTTATAGAAATTCCGTGAAACGCTTTACAGCGTACGGAGGCCTGTTACGAGGAATTGCAAGGCTTCCAGATTTTGAAATTCAACAATTTGTTATTTTTATACAGAATAAGGTCAACAAACGAGCACACAGACCATAGACAACATTTATTCTTGATTAAGAATCAAAACGCAGATGCATTGTTACTTTTGAGAACTAAGATGGAATGCCTCATTTTCCGTTTAAAGGGTCTCCGATCATCTGCACCCACGAAACACAGCAGTATTAAGCTGATATGTAATGTTGGTATTCTGTGAGGGCTTGGTCCTTTCCCGGTCAAGCCAACCCATTCGTACTACAACTATAATATAGGATTTTGTCCTATATTGTGGAGGCAGTTTACATACATAAATTTCACCAGGAGAAACGTCCAGACCAGATACAATTATTTTTAGGCCGTATAAATACTTGTTTTATGTTGGATTCGAACTCAAGAACTTCAACGCCGCAACTCATTGCTAATTAGTATTAGTTAGCTACTGTGTAACGAAACTATAAATTTTTTTATATTTATAGAAAGACAAAGATGATATTTTTATAAACATCGACAGAAATGTAAGTCAATTTATTATTTATAAGGATAAAAATCTAAAGTGAATTATACATAAATGGTGTATATTAAAAACAATCGGAGTTGCCTCTTATTTAAGACTATGGTCCTATTATATAATCTATATTGAGTCTAATAATCTAATCTAGACGAACGCTAGATTATAAGGGTGACACGGCGGAGCGGTCCAGGTGGAAAACGCTACAGAGGAAGACCGCTTACGAGATGGGCGGATGATATACGAGTAAGCAATACAGCCGGCACAAGCTAGATACAAAAACCCAAGATAGAGAAAATTGGAGATTATATTGATAGAGACTCTTTAGAGGAGGCCTCCTCCTGCGTAAGGTTCTTGCAGATTAATTAACTTTAATAATAGTATTAAGCTTATTTTACCTATTTTTTATTTCCAAGAAGTAAAAGGCTTTTATTTTAATTTTTATTTTATTTATTTTCGAATCTAAGGCCATTTAAAGACAAAAACTTTTTCATCCATTACAGGCTATATAAGTATTTTGCTGAATATAGGCCTATATAATGTTTCGTAAGGGGATTTTGGTATATCCGCCACGCTTAGCAGACGGGTTGGTAGCCGCAGTTTTTTTTATTATTTTGAGTTGTTTTTAGGTGGATATCGCTGTCCATTTCCGATTTTAATCCCTTTGTCGTCTCTTCTCTTTTCAACAACCATTGGACTATTTAGGATAGTGAATATTTTTACATAATTGATCTTTTTTGAACCATTTGAAAATAAAACCATTTTTACTTTATTTTGCAATCTTTTTTATTTGAAATATTACACATTTATTTTTAGTGATTTTTGTGGTTTTCCATTAGGGTTCAATAAGTGACACTAAATTACCATATACCGTATAAACTAAATGAGAATAAACGATATGACATTAATGTATCCCAATTATTACGGCCAAATTGCGGAATTGTATATTCGCTAGAGAATAATATGCTAATAACAGGTAATGTTAGTTGGGATATTTATTATGATTGTATATGAAATGTTTTCTAACATAATTTGATAGTATATAAAATTTTAATCTGGTTACAATAATAATCTATACTATGTATTATATATATATGTTGTGTATTATATAATATGTTTATATATAAATATTATTTCTAAAATTAATAATGATAATTTTCAAATAATTCGATATTTGCCGTGCTTCTTAAGAGCTACCACAGCGTGCGTTGTACAGTAATAGTTAAAGTTGCACGAATATAAATTTTTTTACCTGGTAAAGCCATGCTGCGTCTATATTTTAGTCATAGTATGAATGGGTCGTCTCGATCAGGTAAGGACCACGCTCTCACAGAATAACACCGTAAAATAACAGATTTAATGCTGCTGTGTTTCCTATTGTGAGTGTAGAGAACCAGAAAACTTTTCTACTCGAAACGAGGCATTCTAACTCAATTCTTAGGGGTGACAACGCATCTGCTTTTTAATTCTTATTCGAGGATAAAAGTAGATGCCTATGGTGCACAGCATCCACTTACCATCGAGTGGACTTTGCGCTCGTTTTTATTCTATAAAAAATAAAAAATTAACTTTTGAAAAATACACAAATGTGCATGCCTTAAGCGCTCATGTTATTTTACTATGTTATTATTACTGAGGTTCAAAAAATTTTTGTATAATTAAAATAAATTAAAATTACAGAATCATCTTAAAATGATGAGAAATATTTTTAAGCTATTGCATAGCTTCTATCGCGGGCCTTGAGTGCGGGAAAATCCAGAAATTTCGTAACGAAAAAAAACCTCACGCTCTCCGACGTGCATTGTCTAACGATGGTCTAACGTCGTTTCTTTTCCTCAGTCTTCGACACGGTGTTTGTGTATAAAGTGTTTTGAAATTTTGAATATGATTGAACAAAGTTCATTTATTATTAAGGCTGCTCTCTCGCAAAAAGCTTGAAAAAAGCGTGCAGATGAACCAACTTTTCGTCGACACTTACAGAGAAATTACATATGAAAAAAATAGCTAGTAATCTACATGATCTGATACGTAATTTGGTTTAGCCATAATTTTTCTATCGGTGTCACATAATAAATAAAAAAAATACCCAAATCACCTCCAAATCGTTGAGATGAAACCACTTTACTCCTTCATTGTTTATCAAAGGAATATAAAAAAAATATCTACTGCTTTGCAATACAAAATAAAATAATTTGGTTTGGTTACTTTTTTAGAAATATGTATTATTTTTATGATAATAAATTAAAAATGCGTCCCGATTAAATACTGCGTCTATATCACCCCCGCATTCGTCCACGAATTCAGTGCCGGGCGCATCGTGTTGCTAGGTGGACGTACGCCGCGTTGCGAGAGCTCAGCACTACAAAATAAAATCGTAAAATATTACTGCAAAAATTTAATTTTGTTAATAGTGGAGTAGGTTTTTTCTGATTCTTGTTTAATAGTAGTGTTTTATAGTTATATTAATTGTACAGTTTTATTAATGTTTAAGTTTAGTTTGTAAAACATGGGGAATAAGCAGAAACGATTGAAGAGAGGTCTAAAAAAATATTACGAACTAAAGGGTATACATTTATCAAGGTAAGTTTTAAGTTTTATCTACATATTTCATAATATTAGACAGGTGCTGTTTATGAAATACCTATATTACTGTGATTTCGCCACTCTGTGACGAGACAAAGCGCGGCAAACCCAAGTGGTAAACAATATTAACTTCTCATTTATACAATAAGAGAAAAAAAATTGTTTTCTTATCGGTCACCACGCTCAAAAAGTGTAACTTGATTTAATATCAAAGACTTAACTGCATAAATAAAATAAATAATTAATTATAATTGCATAAGTTGATAAAAAATGCTATGCAATAGCTTTACCGCGGCAGTCCCCGAGTGCCACACGTCTTTTTTTTCTTTTTTTCTAATTTTTAGGTATTTGTACTCAGGGATTATCGGAAGAACTAGTAATTTTTACCTGACTCGTGCAAATTTTTATTCTCTTCAACTTTATTTCGTTTTCAAAAAGTTTTTCACCAATTATACAACACTTTAACAATTATAATACTGGTATATTTATATATAACAATTTTATATAAATATACCAGTATTTTGAGGCGACTCCGTGGCGCAGTGGCTCAGCAATGAGTGGCTGCGCTGTTGGTCGCGAGTTCGAATCCAGCACGGAAGAAGTATTTGTATGGCCTACAAATAATTGTTTCGGACCTGGATGTTTGTCTTTGTGCAATTTATTTTTGTAAATTGCCCCCACGATACGGATGCAAATCCTGGGGTAAGGGTAACGTATAAAAAAATAAAAAAAATTGGTTTCTGAAAATGTCCAATTTATCTATTAAGATATAGCGTCTATCTGTTTGTAACGTTTCACCACAATCGATTTAGCCATTGCGTAGATTATTAGCCGCACAACCAGACAAACAAAAATATAAAAAATGGTTATTTATGTCTGCATAGCATGCAAATAACCCCTTTGCTTTATATAAGCTAGTTATTTCTACATTACATTACGGACAGACACTTAAATTGTATTTATATGTGTAATGTGTATAAATAATAACTTCTGTTGCGTGGAAGCCTCAAAACGCATGAAACACTTAGATCAAACTACATTACTGGATGAACACATGCGGTATAATATAAATGTTGTCCGAGAACTCTTCTACAAGAGGAAGGAGTAAAGTTTACGATTTTGAAGACATAATATGCAAAAATTTTACCAAACCAAAACAACTTTAAGATTAATAAACCGAGTTTACTCCTTTTTATAAATTTGTGCTGCAAATTATATGACGGTCAATTACCATCAGGTGAGCCGCATGTTCTTTTGCTCCCACTTCCATGAAAATATTATTAAAATGAAAGAAATTAGAATTCAAATATGAAGCCAAATCTAAAACGCTATATCTAAAATTACTCAAAAGATGTTAATTCTTTCGACGTTTGCAAGCAACCCCTACAATTCTTAGATTTATTAGTATTCTCGCCGCATGTTGTACAATTTAACTTAAAAGTCGTAAAAAGTATAAATTCCGACCACGTCCACTAGGGGTCGCCTGCCGGCATCAAGTGCCCAAATGAGTTTGCCTGTGTTTACAATTACGAACGTTCCACAACCGCAAGAGAGCACAATGAATATAATGAGGGAACTCTGACCGTTGAATATATTTAGCAATTACCGCGACTAACGGTCGGGCTACA